AATCCTGCAACTACCAGCAGTAACGAAGCTCATACCCCAGGTAGAGCACAGCAGTTTCTAACAGCACAGAATCAGTCATCACCTTTGCAATGACTGGTGATGGATTTCATGAGACTGACGGGACTACACAGTTAACCAGTACCAGCAGAATTATTTGTTTTCCATAGTGTTAGAGCCAGAGAATGTTTCCCCAGTGCTAATAAGTAGGCCTCATTCACCAAACAAGATCCTTCTGCGACCACCCCTGCTACACTTCAGCAGTCTGAGATGGCACAGTCAGGGAGGAACGAGGGAGACCAGACAGCATTTCTTGTATCTAATGAGCAGCTCTGCACCACATCTCAAGGGTGACAAGACTGGGCTAAGTTGCTCTCTTCTTACTGGTTGTCAACTCCACACTCAGAAGAGCTCTCATCAAGAACAACTGGAGAACCAAGAACATAAATCCTGAAGTTTAAAATCCTGCTTCTGCTACAGGGCAGAATGTCACGTGCATTACCCTCTATGAGAGAAGAGGTGAAACACATTCATGGATGGGATACAGCCCTTACAGTCAGCATATGAAAGAAACCTCTGGCAAAGCCACTAAACCAGGAAATCAACAAGAAACAAGAGCTAGAAAGATTCTGTGCACAGAATTATTCAAATTTACAAGGTTTGCTAGCAGGAAATAAAATGGCAGAGAGCTTTCTCCACTCTGTGCCACACTTACCAGAAGCAGAGGAGATCTCATGAGATAAGGCATTATTCCACCACTGCTAGACTCTGTGTGCACACTCTCTTGAGCAAGGCAACCACTACATTGCCAGAAAGTCTGACGATTTTCCTCAAACCTTAAGTCTTCACGTGCAATGGGGTCTTTCCAACTGATACTTTTATTGGGTGTACAGGAAGAGGGAAAAGAGTTAATTATACTGTGACTTGCTGTACTGTCACACAGCCACAACTAGTTATGGAAAGACACTGCTGGGGTGGTCAGGGTAAGACTGCCTTTTTGGGGAACAACACTATCTTAGATTAGACTAAGCTAGTCAATAAAAGTCTTGGCAAGACATTACAGTATTTTAATAATTATGATATGTCGCCCTAATTATTTGTTATTGGGGATAGAGGGGAGAGGGAGCTAAATAAGGAATGAATATGGCCACCAATTTTTTAGGCTCCTTTATTACAAAGGGAGCAGATGTCTTACTGCTTCAGCCAATGAGAAAAGATACTCCACAAAACCATTCAGGAGCAAGCTTAACTCTAAAAGTTATGAATTGCATTACATCCTGGCTAAAACATCCTTGTAAAAACACTTTGGTTACTTCTATTACATATCTTAAAAATCAGATTGTATTGCATCTTCTTGACTAAACTTTTTCAACTCTGAAGTCAGTATTATATGTTAAGAGAACAAAATTAGTATCAGTCTCAAATGTGGAAAAAAAAATCAAGGTGCATCATTCAAATTTAGAATGGACACACATTAAGTTATTTCTGCCTAGAACTGTCTACTAGTTACTCTTCTCTTACCCAAAACTGTGGTTAGCTGTACCCTCTCTGTGTCCTGCTCAATTCAGTTTCCCTGGTTTCTGATTTTCCATTCTACTTTAAAATCAACACAACTGTACTAGCCTGCCACTGAAAAGAATTATTTACTTACTGTAGATATAGAGATATTTCATTTTTGGCTAAGTATTTGAAGTTATTCAACTAGAATGAACAGGTGACCTTATTATCAGAATTCCAACAATGCCAGTCAGCATTCTTCACACTATCAGTTATGGTGTTACTTTTCTGAGACTCAAAAAGTTACCCACCTTTCCACAGTAACCTCTTTCAGCATTAAGCAAGTGAGAATACTTTTCTCTTTTCTGTTAAGGAAGCTGCTCATAGAAACTAGCGAAGTTTTTATTATTTGGCAATATCATTTTATTCTTGCAAAATACAATAAAAAAACCTGTTTCTTCTGCATTTCTTAACATTTACATTCACTTACTTGAAACTGCTAGCTGAAAAAACAGCAAGAACAGTATATTTATATAGGCCACTAGTTAGTCAGCACTGATCACAATATGATTAGATAAATAATATTTGGAGTTCAATATTCCTTTCACTGACAAATTGAGAGAGATTCTCCATTTTCGCAACTAAATACAAAACTGAGAGGCACTGAAGAATAGAATGAAAGAAGGATGCAGAAGCAGCCCCACCTCACCTGACTCACACAAAAAAAGGACAGATATATATAGCACACATAATCATCCACTTTCTGCGGCTTTCTATTCATTATTTTTCCTGTATCTGATAGGATCTTCTCTCAAAACCATTGGTCCAGAAACAATTATAGCACTCTCCGCAATGCCACCTTTCAAGAAACACATATTTTTCAATTCTGTTAGACAAAATTAATCATTTTATTTCTATGCCATTCAGGCCAGAATCCAGAAGAACTTGAAACTGCCTAACTGTATCAAATCCAAATTCAAAAATGGGACATTATTCTATTCTGCCTTCCCCCTTAGAAGATTAGATCTAAATAACTTGCCCATTGAAGAAGAAATTCCTTGTCATAGAATGTTAAATGGATGAAAACCAACAAATTATTACTGCATATAGTCATTCTTTTTCCAAAGAGATTTTTCTTAAAGGGCAATCTGAACTCACAGAAAAAGCATACTTCAACTTTTAAGACCTGAATAGCCAGTATTTTTTTTAAGCAACTTTATGTATGTTGATCCTCACTGATGAGAACAGTGAAACTCATCAAGTTCACTCTACAGACCTTAATTATTTTTTTTCTCCTTCCTATCCATTCCCAGCTTATGATAATGCACATTCCTTTACCAAAGGATCTGACCTAAGGTATTTCATTACCTCTTCTGCAATCAAAAACCAAACTGAACAATTAGATGCATTCATTTATAAATCCTAAAGGAAATCAAAGATGAAACAGCTGAACTATTCACTGCTGTTTGCAACCTCTCAAATCAGGGTTGGTTCAAGAAGATGACAAGTATACAGTCAATTTTTAAACAAACGGACCACAAAATACAAAGAAAAACAGAATTAGCAGCATAGTGTCTACCCTCGGTAAGTTTCTAGAAACTGCAACAAAACTTCATTAAAGAACAGAATTAATCAACATATGGATGAATATAATATACCAGGTATGAGAAGTCAACATGCTTTTGTAAGAGGAAATCATATCCAACAAATCTCTGAAAATGTTAACAAGCATGTGCCTAATGGAAACATCAATTAAGCTGTCTACACAATTTTCAAAGTCTTTCAACAACATCTCTCAAAGGAAAATAAAAACAAACAGACTAGAGATCCTTGAACAGATGAATAATTGGGTAAGGTATCAGGAAGTAAAGCAAGCTAGAATAAAGACAGGCTGGCAGTAATTGATTAGTTCATGGGTGAGGGTAATTGGTAGAGACCCTCAGGGATCTGTGCTACTGAGTTTATTCATAAATAACATGGAAAATTAGAACAAGAATATTAAGGTGATAAGTGTGCTGACAGTACCAAAGCTGACACTACCAAAGGTAGAAATTAGGATTCCAGTGAAGAACTACAGAAAGACTTACAATTTTTATTGTCCAACTATGTAAATGTGAAGCAATACATAAACACAATGGACTTTGAGCTGACAATTAACACTGAAGAACGAGACTCTAGTTTTATAGTAGGTTGTTCCAAGGAAGTATCTGCTTAACGCTTGCAGCATCAAAAGACTAATCCAGTATCAAGATCAGAGAAAGAAAACAAAACCAAACATAATTATTCCACATCATAAATACAGCATACCCACATCTTGAATATACTATGTTGTTGTGTTTCTCTATTATAAAAGAAAGATTAAATAGAATGGTTAAAAAAATAAAGTTAGAGAAAAGCAAGAAGAATAAGAGGTACAGGAAGAACTTGATTAAGACTAGAAAAAGATGGAGATATGAATAAGTTTATGAAACAAAGAAACAGAGGGAATTAATTAGGTGAATGCAATGGAACTGGAAGGTAGAAAATTGTTCTTCACATAACATACTTTGAGGCTTATACAGACATTTCTGAACACACAAAGAAACCTCATTCCACTCTGATGTTCTAATACAGCTCTGATGATCTAAGGCTTAGACTACTTCAGAGACTACCCCCTCAAAGAAACTCTTCATTGGTAGAACCAACACATAAGCATGAGTACTGAGCCAGAATCACCACATGAACCCCCAAATCCTGTCTTGTGAAAAGTTCAGCACAGAGCTAATGAAAATACACCCACTGTGATACAAGAAACAGTCCCAGCTGGTACTGAACAATGGTACAGACATTTTACAATGAAATGTAATCAAGACTAATTTTATGTTATTTTAAATGAAATACATCAACTTGCATATTATGTTGAATGATTTTTCTTAATCTCAGTCATTCAAAAAGCCTGTATTCTCTCAAGAATCAAGTTTGAAAGAAGTGCCATTCGATACCATTGGGTTTTTTAAACCTCTTGCAGTTTTATTTCAAACCTTGATCCTATAAAAAAAGGGTATATTTACAGAAATGTCCTAGTGAGGCTATTTAGCGGTTTCTTCCCACCCCCCCGCCACCTTTCAGAATATGTGAGAGATTCCATATTACAGAAATTGCAAAACCATCTTGTTTCAACTTATGACTCAAGCTCTTAACACAGGTGTAAGTCACACTACTCTATAACAGAAAAAAAAAGATCTGACAGCTTCCCCCTCAGTCCCCCCAAATTAGCAAAGAAATCCAATCCATGCCACCATCCATTGCTTCACAAATTTCAAATCAGTGAACACTTATTCAGTCCAAAGTTTCTATTATTCAAACTCTATGGCTCTTTTAGAGAAAACTTCAAGTACTTGCAATTTCAAAGAGACCTATTTATTGATCCACTGGTGACAGAAGCAGAAGAAATGAAAAAATAATAAAAATCACTATTAGAATGGCAAATCATATTCTCATATTAAGAAATGCAGATTAAATGTTACCTCATCGTGTGTGTATCTGTAATCTGCCTTCTTTGACTTCAGATCCCATAATACCACTGTTCCAGACTCAAAGCCAATCAAAAGCTGCAATAATAAGCAGATATATTAAGTCTTTATAAGGATAAGCAAAATAATACCATTTGCAATGCCTGTAGTTTTTGCCCTGAAGAGATGCAGCATAATACTACATGTAGTAACTACAAGTAGTTATGAAGACAAAAATTAGTGAGAAGTGAAGACCTCAATGTTAGAGAGGTTTACTTTGTACTTGTTGCCATCCTCCTAAACTTCCTGCTAATACAATTGACATTCATGCAAAGTTAGAAAAAAAAAAAAAGCATTCCTCTGAAGAGTCCTTGGAAATCCCTTTGAGCTCCAGAAAGGTCAACATTAAACTTTCCTAAGTATCTTCCTTCCTGAGTGAAAATGGGGGGGGATGGAAAAGAGAACTTTTTATTGCGCATTTTCCTCAATGGAATTTGTTCTGCTTAGATTTGCTGGAAGAACACACTTTCCTTCCTAAAGTTTTAGGTAATGGTTCATTGTCTATAAAGAAACTATGTAATATAAGCTTTCTCCAGATGTTAATCACAACTGAGATAACTGGCTAAAGGAACACCAAGAATATTAGTTATTCAGAAGAGGAAAGCTAGAGAGAAATTAAACAAGATAATTTTGCAAATAATCTTTTTGCTAGAAGCAATATTAAACCATTTCTGAAGGGAGTGAAGATTAAAATTGCTCATAATAATTTGTCTAACACATTGAGTATCTAAGCGCTTTGCTGTCCTATCTTAAGTGACGCTTCTCTTAATGAAGCCAAAACAAGGCCAACATAAGGCAGTAGTAACAGTCTTGGCACTTGATATATAGGAGGCAATGCAGCTTCATCTTTCATAGTTGCTGGATCTACTGTGAGATCTTTCCTTTGAGCAATGTTGCTACAGGAGAAGCAGCTCCTAGCATTAAGAAGCATGCCTTCACTCTCACTTCTTTCTCCCAGTGTGGACATACAAAAAGGAGTAGTTGGCTGCTGGGATTTACTCACTGTTGAAACAGCCTATTTCCTGTAAGCAAACAGAAGTGCCCTGAGGGGCGTCCCTCGTATTACAAGGTAGAAAACACTGCCTTCAAACACATGCCTTTGTAGTCACAGACAGAGATCTAAATCAATATGGCCTATTGCTGTACCTAGAGGTTTTGCCTGGACAGACTTTTCAGCTTAAGATTTTCAAGGTGTACAGTTATTTCCAGTATGAAAAACAACAGAGGATCTCCTACCAGCTTACAGATAAAATATTTGATCTATTTCAATGCTATATGGCACAAAAATACCCTAAAGATATTATAACATTTGATCTAGCAAAAATGAATATTAGAATTTCTTTTCTCACTAGTGTCATGTATACTATTATTTTAAATTATCTTGCTTATCATAAGCCATATTTTATAGTTTTTGTATTTTAACTTTAAACATTAGAAAAATCACAGTGATTGAAAGGCTAAAAGCATGAACAAATTTTAAAAGTGAGTACACAGGAGGTTCTTGCAACTGCACAGGTTTTTTTCAGCAATAATTTTCTTATAAGAAAGAAGAGGAGTGTAAGATCAGATTCTAAAGCACTGATTGATAGCATGATTGATAAAAACAGTAATTCTTAAACTTTAATTGACAATAATTAAATGTAGGGTGGAATACACCAGAATAAATAGATCATTTGTCTTTTCTGAAGTTACCATAGCTTAATTGCGTTCGTATTCTAGGGTCAATGATTCTGGAACACAATTCAAACTTAATTCTACAGAGAAACTCATTAGTTACGCACTTAGGGCAGTAAGCTTCATCCCAATGAAAAAAAACTGTATACATGAAATTCTCCTTGATGGACTGAAACCTCAGGTGTCTAGGATACAAGCTTATAACTAGCATGCTATTAAAACATTCAAACCGCTGCTGAGACAATAGTGTCATTCCCTCTCTCCAGTTTTATCCACCACTAACATGTCAAATGAAAAGTAAACCAAAAAATAATATTTCTCCTGCATATGTGGAAAAGTAGTACAAAAAATTATTTTCTCTCTTTGAAGATTCTTCACAAATGGAAGTTCAAAACTCTAGGATATTTGAGACATTACACTGACAAAAATAATAATTCAAAGTTTAATTCATCAATTACTCAATCACCTATGCCTGATTAATCCAGAGCAAAGTCATTAACGAAAATGTGTTTAAAGTGGCATCAAGGTGTCTCTGGCTATGTTATAACCACACTTTTGTCAGGGGTCTACACACTTTTGGAAAAGATGCATGCAAGACTGCTGTTTTCAAATCCTTCTTTCCTATTTTGCTTTATTCCTATTGTCAAAATTAAGGAACCCCCTGCCTGCTTACTCTTCAGTGTGGACCAAGGGATCTGAACAAAAGTTGCAGCAGACCACTAAGATTTTCTAAATAACCTTATGAGGCACACAAGCTAAAGAGGCTGAAGATCCCTCATGGAGTGGATGAGTCATGTGATCCCATCCCAAGACTTGTAGAAGAGGTCTGTTACAGACTTAGTCTTGCAACCGTGACTTAAGTGGGGAATGTATGATTTGGCATTACAGTAATTGCTGTCACCTAGAGAAGGCATATTAACATTTTAACTCCTTGCTTTCTCTTTTAATTCATGAAGTCTTCACTGTGAACTAAAGTTACGCGTTCTGTGTTGTTTTTGCATGAGCCTCATAACAGATATCCCAAAGCAAAGGGTAATACCTGTAGATTTAATTTGATACAGAAGGAACTCATGACCATTGAGTTCATATCTTACGTTCTCCTTTGTGGCTATGTCACAGGACATAAAAATTACTGTCTTGCAAGGGCTTCAAGAATGTGTACTGTAAAACTTTTTGTCAAGGTAAAAAGATGATTATGTTAATATTACCTCAAAAGAAGGAAAAGACAAGTCTAATACATAGCTCTTTTTTATATGTTTTAGTTGAGTTGACTATCTAGTTGCACTACAGTCCAGTTAGGTTTTAAGAAATTTTTTATAATCACTAGATGCTGTCTACTAAATGAGAGTATGTCGGTTAGACCTCAAATCCCATAAAAACTGCTGCCTTAGATTAGCTAAACTAAAGACAAAATACACAGTATTCTATAAAAATATGCTATACAAATACGCATTTTAAAGTTGTGAAAAAGTAACACCAAAGACCTTTGTAAAGTTTATTTAATTTCCACCCCACTATTTCCGCACTCTGGTTATGATTGGGTTTTTTTTGGTAACATCTTAATTTTTACCACCATAAGTAAAATTCTTTGGTTTTGTTTTCAAGAATTTTTGCAATTAAACATTTTCAGCTGTGTTTTCAAGTATTTCTGATTACAAGATGCATTCAATTATTCTAGTAATGTGTCCTACAGCCATGTCTGTACCTTGCTTCATATTATTTTCAGAGCCTAAAACCTTGATTTAGCCTTCCTTTATGCTTTCAACATTGTCCTCATCTACTTAATCCTTCCTTAAAAAGCAGTGGCATCTTACTTTAAAAAAAAAGTCCTGCTTAAATAATATTGTATTGAATGGTCTTTAAACATATCCTACCTTTCCTTCATCCATTGGATTGTCACTAATGTGGACAATAGGTCCTGGGTGAGATTTGGACGACCTAAACAAAAAATATTGCAATTAAAAAAAAAGTTTCCCCTGCCAGAACTGCATCTCAAAATGACTGCAAGTAATACAGATTCTGCAGATGTAGACTCCATGTAAGCAAGCTATTGACATTTCAGCATGGAGTCACTTTTACTTTTATCTTCAAGCCCATAAATACTTTCTGTCTATTTTTAGGCACTTAATTTCTGTCTTTTAATAAGAAGTAAAGACTTATTTACTGCTTATTTGTAACACAGAAAAAAATTGCCAGTAGCTTTACAATATCTGTCTTAATGTTTGTTGTTACAGAACTGACACAGTTGGATAAAATGTTTATTTTTATGCTGGAAAAGAGGTCTTGCCATTATTCACAAAGTGCCCAAGCTGGGCATTGTTAAAACAACAGAGTTAAGACTTTATGTTGACTTCTTGCTATTGAAGAAGATGGACTAATGAAGAGCTATGTTTTTTTCAACAGCCTTTGGCAAGTGATGGACTTCATATATATTTTGAAGATATACATAGCATTCTGGGAACAAAATAACAGCACAGGAACAGCAGCACACAAGTATATGTTTTCACCCACAAAACACTATATTTACGTACACAAATTTATTATTAAAAAAGGAGAAGCAATAACAATAGCTGTAAAATATACTTCACTCTTGGAATAGGCTTATTTAAATTTACATTGTCAGCCAGTAATTTTATACTCAGCATGCATCAGCCCTCTTACAATGCATATCTTTATACTTTGGCTTTAACCCCAAAACTGTAGAAGTGACATACCTGCCCAAGTACCAGCCACATCATATTTTAACATGTATTATTTTTCTAGTTCTTTATCACCACAGATAATGATTTTTATGTCTATTTTTATATTGTCCATTTTGCCTATTTTTATGTCTATTCTAGGCACTATGATAAAATAGTGTTATAGGCAGAAACACATATATTAACATTAACACTTTACATTTATGAGAATAAAAAGTATTTACAGGACTATTTACATATTTTGATCATGTATTTGGTGTAGTGAGACTAATATGGAGGCCACTGTAGGTAAAATGACATTTCTGCAACTGATATTAGTAACATCTGGGACACTTCCGTTCCCTCCCATCAACAGACAATACTTGATTAAACTCACAGTTCAATGGCTTTATTCCACATGATGACATAGCCTGAGAGAGTAAATGATTCCACATTGACAATGTGAATGTTTCCTCTTTCGGTGCCCACATATAGCCATTTACTTTGGAAAGGCAGATGACAAAATGTTATCCTGAAAGAGAAAGCCACCAAAAAAAGGAATTAAAGCAAAGTCTATCAGATATCTTACACTTCAAGGTCTACATTGCCAAAAAGTAGAAGAAAAACAATAGGCAAACAGGAAGAAATAAGACAAGTTACAGGCAGAGAAAAGAAGCAAAGCCAGTACATGACAAAAGCAAGAGATTCACAGACAATGTAAAAACTTAAACAAAAAATAGAAAACAAGGAATTCTAAAACTATTAAGTCATTCAGCTAAAAAAATCACTCAGCCACCTTTGAAAGTTATCATACTGAATGTATTTGCTCAAGATTGCTGTCATTTTAAACTTTAAATACAATACTCCTATGTTATAATCTACAAATCTCGTTTGAAATCTATCGAATTTCAAGTTTTAAAGAACAAAGGATTTTTAGAAGTAGCCTTATGCAGATTATGCTGGTTTCAAGTGAGGAGACAAAGGCAGAAAATAAAGCATAAGAAATGTAAGTTTATATGTAACCCAAAGTATCCTGTAAAGAGCAAACCTAAACCCAATCCTAAACAATTATAAAAGTAATTTTAAAAGTAGTTTAAATTTGGGGCTACTATTTTACTTAAACCACATTTTAATTTTCTGCCTTATAGTTTTCTCTTCTAGAAGGAAGTACCTGAACAAAATACAAAAGCTAATGCAGTTTGTACCAGCAGAGAACTCTTCTTTGACCATAGCTCCAGTGCAAATACTAATATTTGAAAACTTGGTTATTTCTGTCCTCTTGGGTCCTGCTTATTGTTTATCGTTTCTTCAAAATTGATAAGGAAATAATGTCTGTAGGAACTGAAGCTTCTAAAGTATCTGATTTTTTTATACAACAGAAATACTAACTTGAAATTAGAGTCTAGAAACTTTCTGGAAACTGTAAACTCTAAACCATTTTAATCTGACAGGGTCCAATATTGAAAGAAATTGCCAAGCTACTTGGACTATCAAACTTGGGCTTTCAGAAATGTTTCAGTGATAAGGTAAAATAATTATTCAATGGAAATTTGTTCTGTCAGCTCTAATCCTTAGCTTTACAAATTTTTTATTCTTGTTTTCTCCCAGTTGGGCTCCCTTCTTGCCACATCCATGCATCACTTCACAAACCTGTTAATAAGTATTTATGCAAAGAACAGCTTTAGATCCTTTGCATTAGATGCTGTATATACACACTTAGCCTTTGCTTTTGTGCTGAAGTTAACAGCAGCAATGAAAAATAATTGCTAATGGCTGAAAATATCTTAATTTGTATTACAGGTTTCAAAAGTTAAAGCTTCTGTAGTAATACTACCTGATCAAAAGTGTACCTCTTCACTTTTTATATCACTAATTTCCTTCTAGTTAGGGAATGCAGCTTGCTCAAGCAAATCTTTAATTTATCCATTTTCTAACTTTCTTGATTTCTTGTGCTTAAATATTTAAGCCAAAAGGCTGCACTAACTTACTTTATTGAAGTTTCAGAGAAAAAGGACTATATACAAGATTTAAAATGCTTTTCCAACTCATTGAACTTTCAGAGGTTGTAGCATTTTTACTAAGCATAGTGATCTGCTGTCCTGGTTTCAGCTGGGATAGAGTTAACTGTCTTCGTAGTAGCTGGTACAGTGTATGTTTTGAGTTCAGTATGAGAAGAATGTTGATAACACTGATGTTTTCAGTTGTTGCTAAGTAGTATTTAGACTAAAGTCAAGGATTTTTCAGCTTCTCGTGCCCAGCCAGCGAGAAGGCTGGAGAGGCACAAGTTGGCACAGGACACAGTCAGAGCAGCTGACCCAAACTGGCCAACGGGGTATTCCATACCATGGGATGTCACATCTAGTATAGGAACTGGGGTGAGTGGGGGCAGGGGATCGCCGCTCGGGGACTAGATGGGTGTCAATCAGCAGGTGGTGAGCAATTGCCCTGCGCATCATTTGTACATTCCAATCCTTTTATTATTGCTGTTGTCATTTTATTAGTGTTATCATTATTAGTTTCTTTTCTGTTCTATTAAACCATTCTTATCTCAACCCACGAGTTTTACTTCTTTTCCTGATTTTCACCCCCATCCCACTGGGTGGGGCTGGGAGTGAGTGAGCAGCTGTGTAGTGCTTAGTTGCTGGCTGGGGTTAAACCACAACATCTGCAAACACCAAAGGTTAAAGACTTGAGTTTCCCCAATGTCCTTGAAAAAAAATATTTTACTGGAAGCTAAATCACATACATCTGTACACACGCTTCCTAGGCATGCCCCAAAACCTTACTGCCCAGCAACAGAGCTCTCCCACTACACGCAGGTCATGGGGAAGGGGAAAGAGATGCAGCATGAAAACATAAAACCCTCAGCACCCTGCAACACCACAGCTTCTTTTTGTGCCAGGACTCCATGTGCCAGAAGCAGCTGACAGCCAGATCAGTTGGATCTAAAAACATGGCCTAGCAGCCAGAAATAATACTCAGGAGCAGGGTCATAGGCCTATCTGTCTTGATCTGAGAGTTAATATCATCAATTACAGTTGTCCAACACTTTCATTACAAAACCTGATCTATTTCATGTCATTTAAAGGTGGGCAAAAATATAAGTTGGGGCTGCAACTTTGACTGCTATAGCAAACAGGCAACACTTAAAGAAGTGTCCAACTCCTCAATATTCTTGATAGACTATTTGAATATGCAGCCATATTCAATTTGTCTCCTCTTTGCAAGTAAGATTAATTTTGTCAAGAGTTAGCAAGCAATGAAATGATTCCACACCAAAAATAAATTGAGTTCAACTAGTAACTTCACAAAATGATTACAAACTCTCAAAGGCAGGAGGCTGAGGAGACTTCAAAGTTGTTAAGTGTAGGCACATATAAAACAGGTTTCTTAACCTTATCCTTCAAAGTGTGCTTTTACCAGTCTTCTACAATCAGAAAAAAAAAGTCTTGTATGATTTTTATATAACCTAAAAAATATTCTTAGAACTTACATTCACAGAACAACTGACTACTTAAATTCAAAAAGGAATTTATCATGCTGATCCTGCTATAATGAAAGAAGCCCCATTTCACCTTGAAAGTGGCAAATGTTCCTCCATTTGCAAACATAACTTTATTTGCTATTTATTTTCTTAATAGAAAAAGTACGTCTTCCAACTTTCAGAAATTCAATTATTTTTGTCTAAAGTGATTCATTTTGGATAACTGCATTTATTTTAGCAATTTACAGAATAACATTTCCAACATTAGAGTCCATGTACTGAGCTTCTCTCTCTTCAATGATTAAGGCTTCACCTTAAACTATGCAGTTTTTAAACAACATTGGAAGTGTTATAGCCCTAAAAACTAAAATTCAGTGATGCTATGACCATCTGAAGGACCAATGACAACATACTAGCACATCAACATACAGGGTACATTCAGTGGCCTTGCTTGCTCCATTGAAAATTGGACTGAGGATTACAGGGATTCAAACTTGTTTTGGAGGATGGAAACAAAAGGTCAGGGTCATCTTGGTGGTGAGGCAATACTTGCTGATTTAACACTTGGCCAAGGACAGCATATATATTTTTCTGAAAAATGCAGATTTTCCTTTCAGAAACCTTTCTGCCACCACAAGATTAGAATAATATACTCCATCCATAACATACTTTAAGATCAACGGAAGTGGAAGTTGCCATGTAATGCTCTGGCCATTTCTACAACTCAAGCATTGTTCCCCCTCTCTCCCTACCCACAAATGGATACATACATAAATGTGGAAAATACAATCAATTGTTGGGAACAGAGAGAAAAGACTACAGATAGACTTGCAAAAATTTTTTACTTGGGTTCAGTGTTTCTTGTGTACAAACCCCAACTGCCTGAAAACAATGTATCAGTAAAAAGCAGGGTATCATACTCTTCCTCTCCTGTATCAAGCCATTCTGGTCAAAAATACTAGAACAGAAGCATCTATTAAAAAAATAATAGACCAGTTTTGTGCATCTAAGGAGACAGGCTGGGACTGTCTCAGCCAGTGATCACAGAAAGCAGGCTTTTGCAGGTAGCTCTTTCATGGCACAACAGATTCCTCAGATTATCTCCAAGGAAATTTCAGCTACATCAGTAAGGATAGTACATTTTATGAAGCAGATTTAACTTTTAGCATAATGCAAGTATTGTGCACAGCACTTTATTCCAAATATTTCACTTCCCTATACCTGTCAAAAGAAAAAAATCCCTTTATAGAAAAAACCCAATGCTTTAAAGAGTTGTTTGGTTTTTTTAATCTGAAATCTACAGTATGATTTTAATATATGCTAACATCACTGCTAAGATGAGGTACTGTTATGGAACCCCAAAACAGTCAGGGTAGTTCCAAACTCTACTGTAGCTGTTCTTTTCCCTAAGCATAAAATCTTCCTCCTCACTGCATACATATTTGCAAAGCCACTCCTTCCCCTGTTGCCCTCTTCCAAAAAAAAAAAAAAAAAAAAAAAAATTTCAATTTTCTGTGAAATGAATTTGTAAGAGTTGAACCAATAGTTCAAGAAAAAAAATTATATATTATATACAGTGGTACACTAGCAGTGGAAAAACATTGATAAGAAAAGCCCTCACAAAGTATTTCTTGTTCTTACTGTACTTAAAATACAGTTTGTGCTGTTGCTTATGGGAGAGTATTAGCAGTGACAGGAGTCTTTAAGAAGTAATTTGTAAACCTACTGAAAGGATTTCCTTTCTTAACCACAAACCATGTGTCTTTTATGATAATCTGTCAAAGTTAGTTAAGAAAAATCTTAATTGTGGTTGTTTCACAACATATATCAAAATAGTTATTATAGCAAGTGATAGTATTCCTTAAAGGAATTTCATTACAGAAATATCAAAGAATACAATTTATTAAATTACTGTAAGTCAAAGAATTAGGCATTTAAGGGAAATATTAAGTAAAAATGACAGGCTGTTATCCTAGTGTATTATTATGACAACACAAATGCATTATGAAGTCTACTGCATTATGAAGTATTCTATGTTCTTCAGAATT